CACATCAATGTATAGGCAGGAACTGACCTACCAAAGTACCAAGCAGCAACAGCAGCAGCTTCTTCTTCCAGTGTTAACCTTGTGGAATCAAAGCAGTTACTTCATTCATAACAACACAGCGGGAGTCACAAAAGAGTCTAATATCTGAATACTTGTGGGAAGGGCCTATCGCATGAGGGCATCATCCTATCACTGCGGTCACAGATCCACCAACCTCATCATAACTCTAAATACTATTTAGCACTAGTCTTCCTTTAAGCAATTTTTTTTTTTTCTCACTATGTGCAACTACAGTTTTAAGCTTGAAAATCTACATACACTTAACAGGGAGACACAAATTGGCAGTTTGAATACAGTCATTCACAGATGATTAACGGGTATGAAATTCTCTTTGAATATAAGTCCTGCTACTTTTATTACATCTATAAATGTAGACAACAAACAACATCACCTTCATGGAGATATCATGTTGCAATAAATAGGTCTTTGTAACTCTGCTTCGCTCCATTCTTCTAGTCGACGAAATAACAATGACAAAAAATCTACACACAACACACCAAAAAGAAAGAGAAACAGAAAAAAAATAGGGCAAAGAATACTTTGTAATTTGTCAGTATGGAATGTTCCAAGACCATCCCTCAGAAAAGAAGAACTGTAAGTGTGACGGCTTAAATTCCGGAACACCTATCAATTTCATGGGGAGGGGGGGGGGGATAACAATAATATCTAAAAAAGAAATAAAAAAAAATAAAAAAAGGTAAAGGGGAAGAGGAGGTTCAAAAGTGGGGCAAGGAAAATTCTGCTTGATGTAGGGGGGGAGGGGAGAGAGGAGGACATAAATCAATCGTTCCTGTGACTTCTTCTTTAATTACATATTTTTTTCTTACTTCATTAACTTTTTTTCTAGGGGATGTAATGTTTAGTCTCCTTCCGCTTAACATACTTTGGTACATCACCAGCCTCGGGATTTTTACTTTTCAGGTAACTTCTATGCATCACTGGAAAACAAAAATAGAATACAAATTTTTTAAAAAATATAAAGTGAAGGTAAAAATAGTAATTAGTTGCAAATAATTAAAACATGTATATTTCTTTTTTCTGAAAATATAGTGTCACTACCAGGTGTACACTGATGCTTTAAAATTCACAAAAGTGAGTGTGTTCAAAATAATAAAATACATATATATATGTAAATTAGAAAAAAAATCAGATGCAGTGCCACCATCAATGATCATCTATGTCTTCTTATTTCTATAAACAATAAAATGAGCATAAAAAAGTAATGCACAATATAATCAATACATGATCCAAGGCTTTATCTCATGTCGGAAAACAAAGACGACAAAAAAAAAGACAAAGAAAAAACAAAATGCCAAGTAATAGCACTTCTGATGAAATGACAATACACCAAAAGGCAGGAAGGGAGAATTAGAGAAAGAGAGAGAAGCATGAAATTCCAAAACAGAACCTTGGATCATGACAACAATTCAACAATGTACTGTTCCATTACAGTGTTGCAAGCTGCAAGCAGATCTTGGTAATACCAGATAATAAAAGGGCTGACTTTCTATTGATTAAGGGGTAGAAAAAAAAAAAAAAAAAAAAAAGAATATCCAACTAATATATCTAGTGAGTTTGACCTGCTCACAGCCAACTAACAAAACAAACAGCATATGCCAAAGGGTATTTTCATACAAATTCTGTTAGTTTACCTGTCCAGGTCTAGTCGGTTCGAGCGGTAGGTTAGTGCAGTCGGTCTTGCTCTGTAGTGGTCAATTAGATAAGTCAGGAGTCAGTGGTGGTGTCATTTGAGAGAGATGGAAAAGGACTCAGATGATGGACTGAGTGATCCGTCACAAGGAGAAAGGAGTCGCACAGGGTTGGCTTCCCACTTGACTAGAGTTTGATGCAAACTAACACTATCTGGGGCCTATTAGTCTACAACACTAATTAAGCATTTAAGTAATCAAAGACATGCAATAAATAATAAATACATAAATAAATATACGGAAACCAAAAGCAAGCTATACATCTTTTAAGCAGCTTCCAGGGACAGAATGCTTGTACAACTGTTATTGAGGAAGAAAACAAAGCTTCTATAGGATGTTAGACTCATATTAATTACTTGCATACACCTCTGTTAAGTACAGTTACAAAGAGTCTACATGGCAGCCATGTACAAAAGATAAAGTTACAGTAAATGTTGAGATCAGAGGACAAGGAGAAAGAGTGTCGTACAGCAGAGTGCAGATGGCCGGCCGAACGCTTGGCCACTACGCATCATATTCGTCCCGAGAGTAGGCTGGCGATATCTTCCAGCCGCCAAGATTGATGGTGCGCTGATTCGGATTCCAGGGGGTCGGGCCGTGCAGGAAGTTTGTGGGGCCCTGAGGCCCAGCCGGGGGTTGCCAGGGGGGGCGGGTGAACTTGCATCCCCCCGGCGGCTGGCCCTGTCCCAGGGGGGGTCCCATAATACTGCGGTCTGCAATATCCAACACATCCAGCCCACCTCAAGAATGTGCCAGCCAAGAAGCAACCCAACATTATGAAACCTTCACCCTTACATCCACTACTGGTTGATAGATTTCACAAGAATCAGCTACACTTTAATATCCTTAGATGCATTAAGCATTATATTCACTTTATCATATATCACTATGTTTAATCACTCTTCCTTTAGGCACTCATATACTCAGTACTTCCAAAAAAGAAATTCACAACCTGAAAACTATATATCACCATAAACATATTTCAACTGCCATCCATTAATCTACTCACTGCAAAAAGTCCTCCATAGCTGATTAAAGAAAAGACATTTCTCTAAGATAAAACCTTGCCAGACTCATGTCTCCTCTTGATCTCCCATTCTCTCTGTTCCAAGCACATCTCTATGCCACAAGATACTTATTCTATTCTTTGTTACTGTGACTTTTGTATTCATAATTGTGCCTTTTATTCCTAACAGGCCACAATTCCCCCTGGATATGTCTATTTACACCTGTCTTCACGTCCTGATGTACTTCATCTCACGCACCACATATCTTAATGCTCACTTTCTAATGCTACAAAATTGTAGGATAGATCTTCTCCACTGTATGATCAATGAAGTCTTTAAATATTGAAATGAAAAAGATATACATTCTTTTTCACTAACTCTACACTACTGTAATCATCTAGAATCAAGTTATGGAACTGAAATGCAATAGAGAAAGAGAGCCAAGGTCACAACAACACAGACACACATTACATGCCAATATTTCCAAACACACATGAAAAGTGTCCCCATAAATTCAGTTCCTCTCTCTCTTTCTCTAAAATGCAAATCATATATTGACGTCACTTGCAAAAGCTGATTCCTGTGAAAAATATCACTTTTTAGGTCATCTTCCCTTAGCAGACACTAAGAAGATCTACATAACTCTTTGTCAATCAATATCCAATCCAACAGTGAGTATTAGTTAACTAATCTACAATTTGAAAATAACAAAAATAGTTCATACAGATTAAAAGATATGTAAGTAATAAAAAATATATATATTAGTTCTTTCATCATGAAGAATTGTGGATAGTATTATACATAAAAGTTACAAAGATATTAATACCCTTTTTAGTTTATAATGTTAATCCTCATTCAAACAAGAAGTAAAATGATTAATAACTTGTCAACAGGTCATGTCATTTTGTACTTGTCTGTGTATAAGATGTTGCTTGGAAATTAATCAGCAATGGGAAAATTCTTCCACAGTAATCTAATGTAAATGTAAAATGTATAATGAACACACTACAAAAGCCATTTTCATTGCTGGAAATACAAACAACATGTTATACAAATAATATTATGTCATAACTGTCATAAGCCTGCAAATCAAACTTATATATCATTATATTAGACATTGCCTAAAAATGTAAATAAATATATGAAAGTTACAGCCATAAAAGTTTACATTCAGTCCAATATACAGTATATACAATGCAGATGCTATACAGTATCTCATAATCATCCTTTAGATAAAAAAAATTTGCTTCCTCTCAAAATTTGAATCAAGATGTCGAAAAGTATATATTACCAACCTGGAGAGATTCACTGCAAAAAGAAAGAGCTAAAGGCTTTGCTTTGAAGCGGATTTCAGTTACATTCACCTGAACCAGTAGTCAATTGGTGTCTCATAATCAAGATAATTTAATGAGAGAGCTGAAGCAGATCATTGTCATATGCTGAAGCCAAATAACAAGACACAAAGCAATGTGCAAAGTGCTTCAATAAGAAGGCAGAGACAGTGGCTTGAAAATGAGACAGTCTGTATGCTTTACCATTTCTTCTTCCAATAAAAATTGTTTAGAAAGTCAATCTCAATATTCCAATTTTCGTATGTCTATCTTTTTTTATCAAAAGGAAGACTGGAAATAGATACTACATACATTTATTTACATTAGAAACTCTGTTCCTTTATCTCTAAAGATTTTTATCAAACTGCACCACAGGAAAAAGGATAACATATTTCCTCATAGTTTGAAAAGAGTATATATACTTTTCTTGCATTAGGTATTTGCCGACCATGAATCTCACCATGTGGTTCTATATACCCACATCAAACAAGGATCTTGCCTAAACAAACCTTCATGGAATTGCCTCTTTCATGCCTCAGACAATGGAACACTGGTTATAGTTATAAGCTGGGATACACTCAGCATCATAGCCTTAAATGTCATATGTAAAGGAAACAGATTTACAAACACACAATATTGAGAGGAGTTGGATGGGGGGAGGAGGGGGGGAAGACTAGGAGGAGGAGGAGAAAGAGGAGGAGGAAGAAGAGGAAGAGGAACATGAGCAGCATCAGGAGGAAGAGGGGGAGGAGGAGGAGGAGGAGGAGGAGGAGGAGGAGGAGGAGGAGGAGGAGGAGGAGGAGGAGGAGGAGGAGGAGGAGGAGGAGGAGGAAGCACAGCAGCAGGAGCAGGAAGAGAAGCAGTAGCATCAGGAGGAAGAGGAAAGGTGGAGGAGGAGGACAGGGAAGAAGAGGATGGGAAGATGGGGAGGAGGATGAAAAAAGGAGGAAGAGGAGGAGGAGGAGGAGGAGGAGGAGGAGGAGGAGGAGGAGGAGGAGGAGAGGAGGAGGAGGAGGAGGAGGAGGAGGAAGAGGAAGAGGAGGAGGAGGAAGAAGAGGTGGAAGAGGAGGAGGAGTGGGAAGATGGTGAGGAAGAGGAAGAGGAAGAGGAAGAGGAAGAGAAACAGAGAATGGAGGAGGAGGAGGAAAGAATGGAATTGTGAGAAAGAGGGAGAGGCAGAGAAAGAGGGAAAGGAAAAGCAAGAAAAAGAGGAATACAGAGAGGGAAGAAGAATGGAAGATTGTGAGAAAGAGGAGAGGCAGAGAAAGAGGGAAAGGAAAAGCAAGAAAAAGAGGAATACAGAGAGGAGGGAGAAGATAGACAGGAGAGGAGGAGGAGGAGGAGGAGGAGGAGGAGGAGGAGGAGGAGGAGGAGGAGGAGGAGGAGGAGGAGGAGGGAGGAGAAAGGTAAAGGAGGATGTGGTGGAGGATGAAGCAAAAGAGGAAGAGGAGGAGGAGAAGGAGGAGGAGGTAAGGAGGATGTGGTGGAGGAGAAGCAAAAGAGGAAGAGGAGGAGGAGGAGGAGGAGGAGGAGGAGGAGGGGTGGAAGGAGGAGGGAGGACTGGGAAGGGAAGACAGGGTGAGGGTCATATACAAATAAAGTGAAGTGACAGGCTTGACAGTGTGTCTATGCAAGAAAAGGTGACACATTAGTATTGTCAGTGACCCATTACAAAACACATGTGAATGTCCCCACACCATAGCTATAAGCAGTGTCATTTCTGAACAAACATTTCTCAAATGAGCAGTAAGCTTATTTAGTTAAATGTACAACATACTATTTCCACAGGAAATGTATATAATTAAATTTTGGTAGTCAGCATATTAATGTGACAAAAAATAACCAAACAGAAAAATAAATAAACAAAATAATAAATGAGAACAGAAGTAAAGAATCACAAGCAGCCCAAAAACAAACTAAATGTCCTACTTTGCAATTCCATAACAGATCTCAGATACACGTATATATTTAAAAAAGGGAAAATAAAATTGGAAACAAAAACACAAACAAACAAACACAATCATCTACTACCAGAAACAGCCAAAGACAGACAAACCAACTGGCACACAAGACGGGAGAGTGCATGGTCTACTTACCCTGGCCCGGGGTAATAGTACGGAGGCGGTCTTTCGTATTCCGGGGAGAGGCTGGGCTGGCTGGAGTAGCGGGGAGGGCCGCCGCCTGGAGGGTAGTCTGCCCAGCTGTGTGCACACACGGATACGCAAACTGACACAACCATACCTACGTGTTTCCACTACTGCTACACTGGCTACACTGCTACCTCCTTGTGCCTCATGCGTTGTGGGGGCTTATATGTACAGGCGCTTCCAGATTCAAAGGAGCCAAAACATTCAATGGCACATCATTGTGAAGCAAAAACATACCTCAGATAATCAAGGCATAAACATTGTTGTATTCCTTGCTTGTAGTTAAAATGATTTTTAAAAATTCTTTTATCTTATTTTTCTTTTTCTTTTTTGGCTACTTCATCTTTCCTTGTTAATAATTTTGTTAGTTGAAAAAAAATAAGACTTCCAACTGATCTGAGGCAAAAAAAGGTGCAAGTGCGCATTTTTAACTGTTGAATCCACTGTGTTTCCTAATCCAGCAACAGCCATGAACATCTCTGTGACCATTTACAATTTAAATCATGGTGACTTCGTGATCTGTACAATGACATCACCACCTCCATCACCATCATCATCATCCAACAACTTGCTTGTCAAAAAAATAAATAAATAATAATAATGTAAATAAATAAAGAAATAAAATAAAACAAGAAACAAATGAATAAATGAATTTTAAAAAGTAGCAAAAACTGCAGCAATGTTGCTTACCACATCTCCTGGGGAAGGGAAATCAAGTACCAAGCGGAAGGTGCTGCGTAACTTACAGTATTACCTAGATGAAGGTCCAAGCAACACTGACATTCATTCAGAGTAAATTCAGGCTTGATTCTCGTGATGTCCCATTTAATCCAATGCATAACAATTTGGATATAGCCATAAGGAATAAAGAAAAAATGGGGGGAAAAAAAGAAAAAGAAAAATTGTAGCTAAAATAGGGGTGCAAGCCTGAGCCTTATCGAACAATTAAGTAAAGAGGTCGGTCATAAAAGTGAAAGTGGAGGTGCACGTCTCACTGCTAAGGGGCTTTCGAATCACAAGGCAAGTCTCACAAATGCATAGCAAATGTCCCATTGAAATGAAAATAATTAAGTAAAACCATGGTCCTACATTCACTCATTTAATTATGACTTGATACCATCCACAGTTCTTTAATACAGCTGATCTATTTTTTTTTCTGGTTGGGGGTACAAAAATAATATAAAAATAAATAAGTAACAATACTAACAATGATAAACAAATAACACACAAAAAATTGCTGTACTGA